TCAAATAATTAAGTTCTAATGCACAGATGTTTGAAGCTCATGGAAATGGATCATAAAAGCCAAAATCATTGTAATAGCTTTCCTTAAACTTTTAACAATGAACAGTGGAAGTAAATATTTTCTCAATTTCAATTTCTGTTTGTGGAGAAGTAAGCCAAGTATGCTTTCCAGAGGGACTTTGCTGGCTTCACCTAATGTGGTTTAAAACTTCCTTTTTTTATCTTTAATTTCTTACTTACACTACTATACAAAGTCTGTTCTTGGAGGAAGGAGTCTATTGCAGTAATGACATTGAGCAAGCACTCGATAAATATTTGTGAAATGGAAATAAGGAAGACCAAAGAGCAAGCAGACAAGCATGATGGTGCAGGAGAAGCTGGCTCTTGCCAACTCTCTCCATAGAGTGCACCTGCTGGGTTCAGGGTTGTGCTGAGAGCATCTTGACAGAAGGGCCTGCCTGTTCCTAGACATGTTCTCTCCACAACTCTGACTCTAAGGGCATCTTAAGCAAATTAGTTCTTTTTTTGTTAGCATATCTAATGCTTGTTCCTCATTATGAATAGAGTTCTTTCATTGTTGTAGGCCAAAGGGCCATTTTTAAAATATGCATCTATGCATATATTTTTTTTATTAATGTTATGATAGATTACAACCTTGTGAGATTTCAGTTGTACAGTTTTGTTAGTCATGTTGTGGGTACACCACTTCCCCCTTTGTGCCCTCCCCCCACCCCCCTTTTTCCCTGATAACCACCGATCAGATCTCCTTGTCAATATACTAATGTCCACCTATGAGTGGAGTCATATAGAGTTCATCTTTCTCTGACTGGCTTATTTCACTTAACATAATACCCTTGAGGTCCATCCACGTTGCTGTGAATGGGCCAATTTTGTCTCTCTTATCTATTCTTCATATGACAGTTTCTAGATTTTTTTGTCATCATTCTCTTGAAATTCTTTGGCTTGGCAATGTCCCACTTAATTAGTTATCACAACTGGACACCAAAATAAGAGCTAATTAGGTAATAATAATAGCTTAGATTTAGTGAGTGTTTTCCATGTGTGAGAAATTGTTCTAAGCATTAGAAAGATCCATGATTTAAATTTCAAAACAATTTCACAACAAGACCAGGAAACAGAGGCACAGAGAGTTAAGTAGCCTGCTGATGGCTGTATGGCTAGTAAGTGGAAGTTGAAACCAGGCACACTTGCTCTAGGAATTATGTTGTTAACAACCCTACTAGGACTGTGTGCTGCTCTACTTCAGTTCTATTTAAACTAATATTAATAAAATATTTCATTGAGTTAAGGAATGAACTGTACATTTGAAAATCTCTATCCTGCAAAAGACAGAACAAAAGAAGTAAAAGGCAAAATGGAACCAAATGGAAATAGAGACAGTCAGAGAGAGAAGAAAATTATAAGGAAAATTTAATGAATGGCCATAGAGAAAAGAAGAGATATCACATCAATGAAAATATAGACAAGATTCTCTAAAATTAGAGTAGTGAACATGAGCTCTTATGAATAAAAAATGTAGTAACTCAAATAAAAATTAAGTTGAAAGGTTAGGAAATCAATCAAGGATATTTTCCTAGAAGTCAACACAAGTATGGACAATGTGAGATAAGGAATAATAAGAAAAATAGAGCAGAATTAATCCACAAGGACTAATTTCTAACAAACAGGAATTAAAAAAAATTCCAGCATTGAAGAACATGAAAATCCAGAGAAAGGGTTCCATGAATACTAAGAACAATGTCGGAATAAGACTACAACAACAAGGATAAAGAAATTCCTAAATGCTTTGAGAAAGAGAGAGACAGACCAGCCTGGTAACATGATGGCTCATAAGAATCAAAAGGGCATGAGACTTCTCAACTTGGATTTCTATACCCAGTCAAATTACCATCAAATGAAAGAATAAGATAAGACATTTTCAGACATATACACTCATAAAATTTACTTCCTATGTATTCTTTTTCAGGAAGCAATGGAAAAAGTGCTCTGCCCAAACAATGGAATAAACCAAGAAAGAGAATAGCATGATAACCAACACAGAAAAGGCATTAATAGGGGCTGGCCCGGTGGCCGAGTGGTTAAGTTCGCACGCTCCACTCCAGGCGGCCCAGTGTTTCGTTGGTTCGAATCCTGGGTGCGGACATGGCACTGCTCATCAAACCACGCTGAGGCAGCGTCCCACATGCCACAACTAGAAGAACCCACAACTAAAATATACAACTATGTACCAGGGGGCTTTGGGGGAGAAAAAGGAAAAAAATAAAATCTTTTTTTAAAAAAAGGAATTAATAGAATGACTACAAAGCAAGTCCTAGGATGACAGCTGCACAAGCAAGCCTGGAAAACAAATAGTCCAGCCTGGAGTGTGGGTGGATGGCTCACAGCGGGTGTCAAAGTGCAGATCAACGGGGATGTCTTCTGGAAAAAGAACACTGATAGTTGATGAGGAAAATTGTATAGATAATATTGAGCCAGATACTCATGAAAAAACTAAGCAAGTGAGAAAAAGGAGCAATTATTAACTCCAGGGAAAACTAAAACTTGTAGAAGAAAGGAACAGCAAATATAGTATCCCACTAGACTCAGTAGTAAACAATATTTTCATAGTCATAATAATGAAAGTTCAGACAATGGATTTAACCATAAAATTACGATAGAATTATATTTGGAAGTATGAAGGGAGGAGGAGAAAGTTTTAAAAAGTTAATACCTTCATTTACCGTAATAAAAAGCCAAGAAAATTTAAAATTTATGCACCAGATAACAGTGCATCATATTACTTATGAATATGGAGGTAAATATCAGAATAAACAGCTAAAAGAGTTGAAAGTAGATACCATTGAAAAGTAGAAAGAGACAGAATGGCTGCTACCACTGGGGACAGTTGTTGTTGCAAATCTTAAAGCCTCTTTGTCTTTTTTCTTTTCTTTTGTTTTACAAAAGATTGGCATCTGAGCTAACAACTGTTGTCAATCTTCTTTTTTTTCTCTGCTTTTTCTCCTCCAAATCCCCCCAGTACATAGTTGTATATTGTTAGTTGTAGGTCCTTCTAGGTATGGCATGTGGGACACCGCCTCACCATGGCCTGATGAGGGGTGCCATGTCTGCAACCAGGATCCGAACTGGTGAAACCCTGGGCCGCTGAAGCAGAGTGCGCAAACTTAACCACTCGGCCACAGGGCCAGCCCTGTCTTTTTTTCCTTAGATTTATTGAGATATAATTGACATACAGCACTGTATACATTTAAGGCACACAGTACCATGATTTGACTTACATACACTATGAAAAGATTACCACAATAAGTTTAGTTAACATATATCAGGTCTTGTAGATAAAGAAAAGAAAAAGAAAAAAAAATGTGTTTTCCTTGTAATGAGAACTCTTGGGATCTACTCTCTTAACAACTTTCACACGTATCATATGTCACATTAAAAAATTGTTAACTCAAAGATAAGAGACACCATTAGACCAAAAAATAAAAGAAAATCTCAAGGCATATGAACATTGTAAATTCCTGGCTGCGTATTTGACCAAGTGTTCCAGACTGAATCGTTTTACATTCCTATGGATTGCTGTCATCACATTTGACATGTATTGTGAGCATTATCATAGTTTTGGCATTTAACAGAAGAAAAAGAGCAACTTTTAAAAGTTCACATTGTTGAGGTGCTAGTAAAGATGAGCAATTTTATATGCTCATTCACCAATTAATGTCTTTTTCTGTGAACTCTCTGTTCCACTCTTTTGCCTATTGGGGTCTTCATGTACTTCTCATTGACCAAAAAGGGTCTTTCACATAGTAAGATGATTGGCTTGTTGGCCAGTATTTTTATCAGATAATTATTTAGCTTTAAATTTTCATACTTTAAAACATTTTTTATGTGGCCAAAACTTTTTTTGTAATTCTTTCAACTATGTGGTGAGCTGTATTCAGAGAGTAAATAAGCCTGCACTTAAAAATAAAAACCAGCAGTGTTATTCTGCCCTTTCCCTTAAGTTCCTTCCTTCTTTCTGCCCCTTGGCTTCCCATATCTCACTCTGATATTCCACCTCAGCCCCGTTTGTGCAGCTAGGGCCACAAAGCTCTGTTTTTCCTAATCCATCATCCCCTCCACCCCTGTCCCTCCTGTTTCCCTGGGGCCTTGCTCAGTGAGAGTCACCTGGCAAACCAGCTCCTGGGAACTATTGATGTGAGGTAATGACTCCATGGGGTATTCCCAGGTCACACATTCACTTTTGAGCATGTGTATTCAAAACTCAACCTCAAGGCCAGCATTTACATGGAAGGGACCAGCACACAGACCTGATCTCCTCAGCCTTCAAAGGAGGTCATACCCTCTCCATGGACATTCTGTCACCAATCGAAGGAGGACATACCCTCTCCATGGACATTCCGTGGCCAATCGAAGGAGGTCATACCCTCTCCATGGTCATTCCATGGCCAGTTGAGAGTCAATGGGCAGAGGACATGTTGTCCTGGCATAGCACCATTTTCAGTAGCTTCTGACACTGCTGCTTATGGAGATGTGACTCTGACTGGTCATGGGCAGCTACAGCTCACACAGCTCTGTGGGGAGAGGAAATTGTCTGGAAGGGGTGAGATTATGGAGGAAGCTCACTTTTCATCACATAACCCTCTGGAGTCCTGTGGATTCCAGCTCATGCCACTTTCTGGATTTCCCTGAATTGGCCTACGGTTTGCATCAGTATCACTCAAGCTTTTAAACTAGAAAGCAATATACAAATATTAATACTTTTAAAAATATTGCTATTACAAACAATGACTTTATTTTAATATATAATCTATAAATTATGTTATATTAATTACATGTAAGGAATTAAATTAATTAATATAATTATATAATAAAATATAAAAATTATAAAATATAATTTTAATAATTATATTGTTTAATTTCATGTGATTTTATTATATAATATTATGTACTATATAATTATTACATAATTATTTTAACATAATTATAAATCTATATAGTAAACAAATGGGTGCACTTTATTACAAAAATATCAACTCGTATAAGCACAGACATAGCTAAAGTATTGATAAATTTCCCCCGAACGGTGCTTAGGTCATTTAACATTTAAATCAAGCACATGGTATGAATCCCTTTAAAACACGCTTTTGCTGAAGTAATTGGTGCACATACTTGATTAGAGTCCTTTCTTTCTGTTGACTGATCACACCAGTGAAATGTGAAATGAGTTGTTTGACTGACTTGACTTTTAGAAATCAAATGGGATAGGCACAGGGTTTGGAGAAAAGCCAGGTCTTACGTACAGCAGTATTCTACAGTGCAGGGACGGCCACTTTCACATGGCTTTGGGTCTGGGCTGCCCGTGGCCTGTGTGTGATGCTGTCGGTGACGGGCCCTGAGATCCCCCACAAGCCCCGGAGCGGGCGGTGCTTCAGTGGACCAGTTGACCCATCTCTACCACAGACACACGGCACAAAGCACACTGAGAGGTCGTGAAGCTCAGTTAATATTTAAAACATTCTGATGCTCAGATAAACGGGGATTCAAGTTGTCACCAATTAGTAGGAAAAGACTAATTATTATACAGATCTATGATCTTTTATAAGTAGAAACATTAAAGGAATCTAAAAGCTGTCACTTTTTATGAAAGAGCAGATGGCCTGAATTAGACCCCTAACATATAATGAGTGTGAGTGTGTCTGTCTAGGTCTGGATGCAGATGATCCAGATCTAGATCTAGACAACTGAACAGGAACATTTTTAAGGGCTGTTGGGGGAGGGGGAGAGAAGAGAATGGAAAACACACTGTCGATGTCCTTTGAGTCATTCCATACAGTACTATCTATAGGGATTGATCCAGAAAAAGCATTGCCTTCTGTTCCAGACTTTTAACTACTTGGAAATATGTTTAAATTATCACATTTCAATAAAATTCATAGTTTAGGCAGTAAAGACTTCCTGAGTCCATACTCTGGGCCAGACACTCAGCTACTATGATGAACAAGCCACAGCACTGGTTCTTCAGGAGCTGACAGTCCAGTGGAAGGAGACGGGTATATAAATAGGGCTGTTACCCTACACCTCAATTTTCTACCTTATCACCCCATCACCACTAAATTAGCATCTGGTTCTTGGAAGGAGTAGCTTGTCTCATGTCAGCTCCTGAGTTTTCTCCTTAGTGGTCATGTTCCTCCCCAAACCCCTAAGTCAAAGGCCACCACTGCCTTTGCTGCAGCTCATCTCCTGAAACCCCCCAAAGGGCTCCACATACAATTATGGAGATTGTGTAAGGCAGCTTTTGGGGCCATAGATTACTGTAGGTTCACAAGGTGACTAAGGGAACTTAATGTAGGAGAAAACATGGCAGGCTAAGTCTGGCTTTTCCCAAAGGCAAAAGAAAACTTTTTGCAAAGAAGTTCAAATCTTTGTAACCCTCCCAAGCATTTCCCCAAGAAAGAAACTTGAAGAACACCCGTGTCCTTTGCTAAAGCAGTTATCTTCTAGTTGGGACTGGGGTCTGCGGTGATGGCTGAGGGAGCCTCCTTCCCCTGAGAGATCTAGCTGGTGCTTTGCCATTTAAGGCTGATCTTTGAGGTCTCTATGGCAGTCTGAAGTGAGAGTGGTCCTCATCACTCTTCCAGGTCTTCTGGAGGAAACCTTTGATTCAAACACACACACACACACACACACACACACAAACAGGCACACACATACACCACCTCTGTTTCCTTTGCCCTCAGACACAGGAATTCTTAAGCACGGTGTCATCAATGCTTGTTTCCCAGAGCAAAGCCCTAGGGACTGGAGGAGGGTGATGAGTGAAGGGAGTAGCTAGTCTTCCAAATAAAGCAGGAACAAGCGATAATAGCCACAGGACTGTGGCCTTTGGGGAGAGGGACTGGATTAAACTGTCTGCTTTGAAGGTAAATTGTTTGACTGAATTAGATAAGGTTTTTTTCCAATTTGGTTTGCAAATATAGTGACAGGAACATTTCTGTTTGAGTTTACTCCACAATCTCAATAGCCATAGATTATCTACAAACAGGTTCAGATACTTAGGAATAAGGATTTTGGGTAATAAAGATTCTTTTCATTGAGTGTGGGGTAGTAACTAGGAACAAGAAGAAGCATGCTAAAGTGGTGGGATGATTCAGCATGGGAGAAATAGTGAACCTTCTGTAAACCTGAGGATCTTGACTCAGCAGCAAGAACTGGTGTCTTAACACTTTTTTGCCGGAGTTACTAATGACCCATTATAAAAGAACAACTGAGGTTGATTATTTATCACAAAGGGATTTCTGTGTGTAGATAGAGCAGCATTTGCTCGATTGAGCCTCTCTCAGTCCTAATCCAGCGCAAAGGTACTGCTTGGCCTGGAGAGGGGTGTGGTGTGCCCTGAGGAAGCTGGACAGAATCTTCTTCCCTCGAACCATGGGTTCATTCATCTAGTTTCCACTCTGCTCACTCTTCCACTAGTCTGTTTTCTCCACTAATGACCTGCCCCACCTCTCTCTCTCTCCCAACACTTTCTATTCTCCATTCATATGGCAGACAGAAGATGCTGTGCATAATGGAGCCCAGTTCGTGAACACAGGTCTCTCCTGGTCAGAGGGGAACTTCTCCTGTTTTCTTTTATTCTCCTTTTGTCCCTCTTTTCAGAATTTTAGCCAATTACCTCTTTTTGCTCCTCACCTTCTGTGACAAGTCCACTGAGCTTCTTAGTTTTGAGACAATAAGGGGGATTTGTTCCTGTAAACTCTTTGGTTTAAAAAAAACGAAAAGAAAATGGAAAACAGTTCTGTCAGAGATGGAAGTACAGGTAAGATCTGAAGCTCATCACCGTTCGGCAGTTCCAGTTCACTGGGGGCTCTGTAAGTGACCTGAGAGGAGACATATTTAGCAGTTAAAAGTATTTTTAGGAGACCTTAAAATAGAGCCAAAGAATAAATCTAATAGAAACAAGAAAAGGAGAACTTTGATTCTGGGATACCCTGTGGTTCTTGAAATGAGAATAAAATTACTTCCTGAAAAAGCTCAAAAAAGTTGTTAATCATTCTCTTCTCAGTCACAATGTTTAGCAGGGTCTCAGGTGCCTGTCTGACAAATAGTTCCATGGGCGTGAGTGATCCAAACAAGGCACAAATCTTTACACACTTCCTAGGTGTCAAAACAGCCCGTAAGATTTTAAATAAATGTCCTCGCTTGACAGCTCCCCTGTCAGTAGGCCCTGGGACCATGCAGGGACCCGACACGTTAGGTGGACCTGTTCCAGCTACTCCATTCGTTCCTTTTTCATTCCCTTTCTTTTCCTCTCTCTTTTTAATTGTGTATTTTATATGTTACCATCTTCATAACTCTAATGTTCTTGGTGGTCAAATGTTACTGAAATCAGGATCCTGAGAGTAGTTCAAAAAATAGTGTAAGTGGGAGTGCAAGAAAGGTTCTTCAAAGGATGTGTTGAGTCCAGCACACGTTTATCTTATCAGTTGGTTTATTCTTCCTTGAGAGAAGGAGGGGAATAGCTTGAATGAAAAATACATAGACCAACTTGCTATAATGTGTCACCTTAAAAGTTGACTTTAGACAGATAAAGTTGAAGTCGTATGTGAACACATAGTACACCAATTCCTTCCCTAACCCTTCTATTAGTGCTCACTGTGCACTCACCATGTGATGGTCATTGTGTGTTTGTGCTATGCTCCATGAGAGCTATCAGCTGCATATAACCACCTCCTTTTCAGATATTTAAAATCTACCAGTGGGAACAAGTATGTACACAAATAACTTTACTACTAAGTGGAAGGTAATGTCCCTGTAAAGATATAAATAAAGCTCTTGAGTGTCCTTAGGAGAAAAAGATCAGATCTAACTAGAGGAATGTGAGGAATTCATGCAGGAATGGATTTTCCACTCAAAATGATTTCTCAAGAACTACTAAGCCTCCAGCAGCTAGAGATTCATAAGAGGTCATTCCAAAGCTATGGGAATTGTGCCTGGAAAGCCAATAATGTGGTAAGGTTTAGGTGTATTTGGGAAATGTTCATGTAGGCTCACTGAGATGTTCCAGGAGATATTTATGGATAAAAGACAATGAAGAAAACACAGATCCTGTCCGTGGAGAGCTTCCAGTCTGGTGTGGGACATGATGAATAAAAAACAATGTTTGCTACAGTGTTAGAAGTGCTATATTAGAGACACAAGGGAGGAGGAGGAGGAGTGAGAGAAGGCAGTAAAGACTGTTCCTGAAAGAGACAGACAATTTTATCAACCTGCATGAATTACAGGGGAAACTAGAGTTTATACAGAGATACAGAGATGTGAAATGCACATTCTGTTGAGCAAATTGTAAGATTCAGTGGCTAGAGTGTGTGGGACAGGATGAGCCAGGAGGGGCAAGAAATGAGAAAGTCCAGATAATTAGGTTAGGGAAGGATCTTGAAGGCCAAGGAAAAGAATTTGTATTTATTTGCCAGGCAACAAAGGCTTCTGAGCGCCAATGTCTGTGTTCATCACCAAGCCCCAAGTGTTCAATTAAAATTTGTTGAAAAAGTGAAGGAAATATCAGATAAGTGAGTGAAACAACAAAAATGACCCCCAAATAATTTCAATGTTTATGAAAGGAGGAAGAACAAGGAAGACCAGTGCCCTCCGGCTTTGCATAGACAGCTTCTACATGAGAAGGAGGGAATCAATCCTACATCTTGTATTCTCCTTGGATGAGTCAATAACTAAATGGTAGTAAAAAGAATATGTCCCAAAGTCAGGGGAAAACAAGAGGTACCATTCCTAGTGAGCACACTTCCTGTGGACTTTCAACATATGTGCACAACACATAGGTAGGAATGAGGAGATGACAGGATGCTGTAATTGGCGAAACTGAGAGCAACAAACGTACTCATCTTGGTTACATGATAAAAATGACTATAGGAGGGATGAAAACTAACACTCCATAGCAGAATAAATATCAAGTAGTTAATTAATAGTTTCAGCAGAAGTGATATGTAAATACACATAATTACTAAGGAAAACAATGTAGGAAATCCTATTATCTAATATCTGTGACCTCTTTAAAGCTAGAAACCACATATTTGATGTCTTTGGTTTCTAGCACTGAGCACACTGCCTTAGTAGGCTAGCAGGCTCTCAAAAAATAAATACTAAATGCAAATGAATATACTCAGATGCCCCTTCAAGTGTCTGCATCCATCACCTGCCTCCAGGGTGTGAAGGTGGTGTGGTCTACCCACTATCACCTGCCATCACCCAGGGAGACCTCAGGAGACCATCTTTCCTCTGGAGCCCATCTGTCATTTCAAGGTTATGACAGTAAGGAGGCAATTTTTTATGAGATTTTCTCCTTTTCTTTTACTGTTTCGAGGATAGCTAGGGTGGCTGTAAAAACAAGAGCCTGATAGCTCTGGAGAGAGCCAGGAGGAGGGCAGGGCAGGTTGTACAAGCCCTACCACAAATGCTCTGCCAGGTCCCTGCCTTGTGTGCACCACACCTCAAAGCTGACTTAAATGCATCCCACTGTTCCAGGATGGCTGCCTTTCCAGACTGTAGACTGCTGGCTGGGGCAACTTGCCAAATGCTGCTCCTGGTCCGAGAAGGTTAACCAGTGTCCATGCTGCATGGGAATGAGCCTGCAGAATCAATGCCTATCGACACTGAGATTTCACTTGGATCTAACTCTGCCAGATAAAGCAGTAAGAGGTGTGAAATCCAGCAGTTCACCTGAGAACAAATTTCATGCCGGTAAATTCTAATCTTTGCTATTGGCAGTGTTGTTCAGCTCTGCAAAGGCTGCCCGGCCTTCTGCCCTTTCCCAGCCTGGAATGCAAAGCCAGCTTGGGTCACACCTGTCTTGGTGGCAGAATCCACTGTGTGTTACGGCCTCCCCTCCATGTCAGCACAAATATCCTTTAAGCCAAAACTTTCCTCTTACCATTTCCATGATGGAAACATTTCATCTGTAATAATTTTCCATCAGAGGCTGGAGAGGAGGCTGCTGGAGTTTACCTGCTGTTCAAACCAGGCACGGTGGAGAGAGACCATTTTTCTTTGTGTTTGAAACCAACAGGAGGATGAAAAGGCCCCATAAACACAGCCAGTCAGGAGTATTTTATATCTATTGCTGCAATGAGAAAGCCCACCTGTAACAAAATAGAAGAGGGATGCAAAGAAATAAGAAGCAAAAAATAAAGAAGAGAAGGAAGAAAGATTTAGAGAAAAACGGGAGCAGGATTAGTCAATCCTTCCTGTCGAAGTGCTCCTGTGGTTTATAGCAAAATAGTGCTTTGCACAGTTGGGGTTATTTGTCAAGGGTTAAATGTCACTCAAATCACGCCCGTTATGAACTGGAAAGTATGTACGTGTGTATGCGTGTGTGTGTCTGGAAGGATCTAGATGCGATGCTACTTTCTTATGCATTTCAAATGGAGCCACGCTGGCCTGGAGATGACCTGCCACACGATTTTTAAATTATCTCTGTGAGCGCTCCACTTGTTTTGGAAATGCTCTAAATAAAAATAATGGACTGTCTTTTAATAAGTCTCATTGTGAAGATTCCACATAGCAAACCACGCAGCGCAGCTTGGAGGCAAACATCGGGCATGTGTGATCTCGCTGGAAGAGAGACAAATGGTGATGCAAGGAGCTCCATCGAGGGACTGCTGACAAGAAAATGGCATTTGCAAACTGACACATCTGTCAGGGTGGAGAATATTGGCACCTGTCATGCAATTTCAGTCATGACTTTTAATAAAGCTGCTTTCCCTTAGGTAAAATTGGAACTTGACTGTAATATTAGCTGCGAGCACGTCTTGTTTTCCCCTTCAGAGCGCTTTTGTACGTCAGGCGGTTCAAATGAGTCTTAAAGCGGAAGTAATGATGTTTACCAGCTTTTCCCCTGTCTCCCCAGAACCCTGGATTTGAAAAAGATGTTGCACTGAGTTTTTTTTTTGTCTTTCTTTCTTTCTTTTGCAAAAATGTCTCCTTTTGCCAATGAATGCTGGTTTCCGCATAGACTTTCATACAGTTCGGCTCACCCTTCTCCCCACCATCCCTGACCTCCCTCTGCCCCTCGCCTCTGCCTCTGACTGGGTTGTTGTTTGAGTGAATTTAGCCCGAGGAAGTATGTATATAATAAAAAATCGGTTGGGATTTGTTGGCTGTCAGTCAATAAATCAGTCAGAGTTTAATTACCAGGCAAGTGATGGGCTGTGGTGACAGGCACCAGCTCCAGTGGAGAGGATTTCTTTTGGGGCAACCACTACAAAAAAAAAAAAACCTAAAAATGAGGTTACTTTGAATGTGTGTGTGTGTGAGAGAGAGACAGACAGACAGACGCAAGGAGAAGCTAAGAGACAAAATCGAAAAGCAAAAAGTTGAGTGAAAAGCCAAAGAGAAATGAAAAGTTAAGGAACTCCACTGCTGCCATCAACCCTATCAAAACTGGAAATCTCACTTCCTACCAAAGCTATCGGAAAGAATTACTGTATAAAAAAATGACATAATGCGTTAAATGCTGTTTCACACAGTAGGAATCAAGTGTGTTTTCTCCCTTATTAACGTTCCCACAAACAATGAACCATTTCTTTCCCACCCCTCCCAGCCCCCGAACACCACTTTGGAGCAAGATTCCAGGTTAAGAGACCCTACTACAGATTCAGGATTATTGGGGTGGGGGGAATATTCTTTTCTTTTTTTCTAAAGGCAATTCACACTCAAATAGATTTTATTTTTGACTAGTTATAGGAAATGTCATCTTCTACCTGTCATGTGTCATGAAGCTGTATGTGAAGATGCTGCAGGGTATTTTGACTGAAGGGATGTTCTATTTTCTTTTAACCGTTCTCCAGTGGTATGTCTCAGTTTGTTTATTTGAAATTCTTAGATCATTTTAAGGAATTGTGGGGATCTCTGACTCAAGGTAGTATATCCACTACTCAGAGAACCCCTCTTGGCTGGTGTAGGAGAGGAAGGGAGGCATCGGGCTGTGCTGAGAATCTGGGATGGTGGAGGAGGCCCAGAGTATAGATCCTTTTCTAGAATTTAAATTCCATTGAATTTTACCAGAGTATCCTGGATCTTTTCCTCCTTTCTGGAATTCTTTTAGAATTATACAAAAGCATGAGATTTTTATAAATATATCATAAAGGTTTAAAACAAAAAAAGATCAGGCAGGATGAGCTGTGAAGATATATGAAAAAAAAAAAATTATACACAGCACCAAAGCAAAATCAGCAGGCTTGTGGCTTTTGCCAATTCTCTGTGAAGAAAATATTTGACATTTTGCCTAAAATCTTAGCAGCAAACAACAGCCATTCCAGCTTAAATTGATATTAAAAAACAAAACCAAAAAGGAAAACAAAACAAAACCCTATACCCCTGGGCCAGAAAATTGCCTGTGACCTGAGTCCTGGAAACCTATAAACTAGAGCCAATTCCCCCACTTCCATTTGCCCTGGCTTGAATCCTTTCTAGGCCTCAGTTTACCCAGCTTGCCTCTCAAATGCCAACGCTCTTGGGGACCAATAAATTCCTCTATGGTTTCAGTTCAGGTAGCAAGTGATCAATTTCAATAAACTTAAGAATGAGCAGGCTTTGTTTAAATGTCTGTTAAAACAAATTTTATGACTGCTTCAGGGCTGTATCAGATAGCCCACCATGTCCACATACCCCATAAAACATGTCACCAGGCTTCCCGAATATGTCAGGTTAAGAGAACCAGAATCTTTCCTGGAGCATTTCTTTTTTGAATGTCTCACCCCATATGAACAACCTTTAAGTCCAAACCTAATGGGACATTGTAACCAGAAGAACTAGAATTAGAAGAAATAATAGTGGTATTGTCTCAGAGAAAAAAGGAAGATCGTGAAGTGGAAAAAAGCGAAATACTATTTTAAATTAGCCAAAAGGAGCTTCATTCTCTATGGTCTGACATTTTGCAGTGTCAAAAAACTGCCTGCGTTTTCAACCCATCAGGATTCCTGCGTTCAAAGGAAAGGCAGAGACAATCATCCAGCCACAACTGGATTATAATCCAATGCTTACCAAGAAGGTAAGACAAACCTAAACAAGCCTTAACAACAAAAAGACAGGCGGGTCCCTCTTTTAAGCCCACTATTTCTGTTGAGTATCATTTATGTGCATCTTCAAATAAAAGAGAAAAGCAAACACTGAAACAGTTATTAAGTGTGGAGCTTTCCACTGCTTCCAAGCGATCACTATCATAGAGAGATGTCTATGGCGACTCTCTGTGCAACATCCCTCATTGCTATTGTTGTTGAAATAACCCTGGGGTTTCAGAAATGAGTAAAAATTAAACTACATCTTTATATTATCTTATTTTTAAAGATCTCCAGGAATGGGATTTTCACAAAAGGAATAACACTCTATTATGGTGCCCTAAAACCCTTCACCACTTTATATTCAAAGTGCTGCACTAGGAGCTCATTTCCTCTTGTTCTCTAAAGAGAGAAAGCAGAGATTTCACTTACATGCTGTGTTTTTAATTTTTATAGACCAGCTCACTAGCACAGGATGAAAGATTTGCGCAAAAATGGGTGTGGAAGTCACTGTTGGCAACAAGTCCCTGCTGGCGGATTGTTCCCCGGCAGCAAGCTCCTTTGTGCCCAGCACTCCTGTTGTAGTTGTTAGCACATGCTCCTACATTCACTCACACACGGATCCCTCATTCATTGGGGCAGACCACACATTTTGACTAAAGACCTCCTTAAGCTCTAGGCAGATATTCAAAAAAAGGAAGGCAAGGCCCCTGCTTTAAAAGAGCTGGCCTTCTCATGGGGATAGACTGAAAACAAACAAACATGTAAGCAAGAGAAACATCAGATGGTGATGAGTGCTATGTGGAAAATGAAAATAACACCCAATAGAAAGCCCCTTTGGTTTTCTGGTCAGGAAAGATGTCTCTGAAGAGGTGACATTTAAGCAAAGGAGCCAGGTGAGTGAAGGTCAAAGCAAGAACATTCCATGCAGAGGGGACATCTTGGAACCTTGGGAAAGGAAATGAAGGCTGGCGTTTTTGAAGTGTAATGAACAAAGGCAATGTGACCGGAGACGAGTTAGGACAGGCAGGCGGGAGGAAGTCCATGTAGGGTCTTGTACCCATGGCAGCAGTTTACATTTTCTGCTAGGTTTAACAGCAAGCTATTGTAGGGTTTCAGAATGAAGACTGACATGATTTGATTTGAGTTTTAAAAGCATCACTCTAATGTCTATTTAAGTGGCCAAAAGTAGAAACAAGGAGACCAAAGAGGGGATATTGCAATAGTCCAGGCAAAAGATGGCTTGTGGCTTGGGCTGGGATGACTGTAAAGAGATGATGAGAAGTGGATAGACCCAGGACTTATCTTGAATTAGTCAACAGGAACTGCTGATGTATTGCATGATGCTGAGAGATAGAGAAGTATATCCTTCAGTATGAGTGGGCTATACTGTGTGACACACAGCACCAAAATCTTAATGGCTTAGAACAACTTAGATTAACTCCCCCTCCATGCTCCATGTCCATGGCAATTCAGCAGGGACTTTGTTCCACATTGTCCCCACTCAAAGACCCAGGTTGATGGAGACGCTGCACTTGGAATGTGGCTGCTTGCTGAATTAGGATTAAAAGAATACAGACAATCGTGCACTGACTTGTAAATGCTTCTACACAATGGTGACACCTGTCACCTCTACTCACAGCTCATTGGCAAGGATCATTTGGTCAAGAGGAGGGAAAAGTAGAGTTATTCTCTGTGGAAAACAGTGGAGGGAAACCGGGTATTGGGGAACATAGCTAATATTGATCACAGGAGGTGTCAAGGGCAATGCCTCCATTTTTGATTTGAGTAATGGCATAGATGGGGCCGCCATTTCTTGACTGGGAGATGAGGGGAAGAGCTCTTGTAATCCTTCACCATGATTATAGCTGTTGGTTCAACACTCATCTTGCCAGAGACAGTGCAAGCTCCATACTCCCCAGGTCACTACTGTCCTAGACTCTATGAACCCAGCACCATGACTTGAGTATAATATTTGGTGATTTTATGAATGAATTAATGAAGCAAAGAACAAGTCATTAAGCCTTTTTATTTTTCACTTTCCAAGGGTGGCAAATGATTGTATTTTCAACCTTCCTGTCTGAAGTCAACCCAGAAGTCCACGTTTAAGCCTGTATTATAAGCCAGGGCTCAGCTGCATGGGCTGATTCACACAGGAGGGGTTAACAGCTACATACTTTCCCCAGCTGTCATTTGGCTGTGATGAAGATTCGTGCTCTAGTTCCTGATATCTCCATAAGTTTTGGCAACTTATTTGAATGCTTCAGATTACCTACCTGGTCACCAGCTTACTTCTCAGTTTTTGAGTTAGCTGCACTTTCAACTCCAGCTAAGGGACACTTTGGTCAGCCAAGGCATTCTGACACTATCCTATGAGCCATTGGAGGTATGGACCATTTTTAAGTGAAGAATTGGCATGAACTGTGTGCTGACTGGAAACTCCTGAGGGCTGGTGCTATATTCCTTGAATCTAAGCATTCCCAACACCAATCAGAGTAATGGTCACACATAGGCACACAATAAAAACTTGACATGTGAATTACTGAGCAAATGAATGAACACATGGATGACTGAATGAGGTTTAAAAAGACTAATGTTGTGGCAGTAGCAGGTTTAATTGGAGGAGGTACAAACTTGTGACAGAAAAAACGGCCCTGTTGGAAGAGTCTAGAGGTGAATTTATAATGCCAAGATACCGTCTGTCTCAGTTCAGTGAGTCCCTGGCTGAAAATGAGTGATATTTAAAATTGCAACTCAATATTCCTTCTGATTCAATGTCAGTGCGACTTGTTAGAAAGACACAGGACAAGATTTAAAGAAATAACTTGTAAAAAATTTATATAGAGAGATAAATAAAGTTATGTCATCAGAATTACTAATACCTGACTCCCCATGCAACAGTAACTCTGAATTCCAACAGTATATAATTTGATCTAATGAAAACATGCATTGAGTACAACTTTAAGATGATAAGGCATATGGTTTTCAAACCCTTTTTAAATCTGTGATATCAATTTAGGCACCTGCTCAAGACACCCAAACTACACTTTTGGCATATAGGAAATACTAAACTCCACTTAATTTTCCAGTGGTATATTAACATGGAGTTGTTTACTTGCAAGAACAGAAACACAACTAAACTAGCTTAGAGGAAGGCAAGTGCTCATATGAACAAACCACAAGCAGGACAGGACACAGCTGGAAAGGTTGTGTGCAGCTGAGCTTTGAGGATGGCTGAGACCAGGTTCTCACACACCATCAGCTTCTCTCCTTGTCTCCCACTCAAGTCCGCTTCCTTCTGTATGTTGACTCTGTTCCTTCACGTGACAGATCAGCTTCTTTCACAGTAAGGAAGACATGGCAGCCAACAGCCCTAGACTCTGATGTCTCCTCTAGGGAGGAACTCAATCCCTTTTCCAAGCTCTAATTGGATGGCAAAGCAAGATGTAGATCATCTGTCACCTGGAGATGAGACGGAAAGTGATTGGCAGCTTTTACTGAAACCACAGGGCTGTGGCTCTTCATCAGTGGTAGGAGCAGCTCTCTGAAGAAGAATGGGGTTGTTTCCAGAAGAAGAGAGCCTAGGCACTCATTCTTCCACCATCTCTCTATGCTGTAAACCTTCAGGAGGCTGCTGCTGCTGCTGTTTACTCTGCTGGGGTTGTTTTTTATTTTTAACCCCCACTGTATGAGTGAGAGAATGAGCTTGTATTCGCTTGTTCAGGCCGCCATAACAAAGCACCGCAAACTGGGTGGCTTCAACAACACAGATTTATTCTCTTACAGCACTAGAGGCTGGAAGTCCAAGATCACGGTTTCAGCAGATTTGGTTCCTTCTGACGCTGTGAGGGAGAACCTGTTCCAGGTCTTTCTCCTAGTTTCTGGTGGTTTGCTGGCAATCTTTGGTGTTCCTTGGCTTATAGATACACCCCCTTGATCTTTGCCTACATCTTCACCTGGCACTCTCCTTATGTGCATACACATCCAAATTTCCCCTTCTTATAAAGACACCAGTCATATTGGATTGGGGCCCACTCTTGTGACCTCATTTAAACTGAACCTCTGCAAAGACCATGTCTCCGAATAAGGTCCAACTCTGAGGAGCTAGGAGTTAGGAGCGCAACATATCCTCTATTGGGGGGAGGGGGGACACAATTCAACCCATTACAGAGGGCGAGGACATTTTGCTCAATGAAATGGGTGGACTTCTTGAGAGTGAACATCACTCGGTCTCTAACTCAGTTCTTCTTAAATCCCTTTCACTTGCTAATTTCTTGTGTTCTTAGCATTGCTATCTGTGTTTTAGTTTTTCTTTTTTAACTAAAGTTAAAATTGTCTATTTGCATTTAACTCTGGCAATACAAATGTAAACAACTTTACTTTTCTTGACTGTTACCAAATAATAAGTAATTACACATTTTTTATTGTAGACCTATGGACAATCAACATACAAATTCTTTATTTAGAATTTTTTCAACCAAATTAGTTTTTCTTTAGCATATTTCTCAAAAGGAACATTGGCTACTTCCCCATCTAGTTACTAAAATAATTCTCAATAAACACAATCACTGCAGTATAATATGTTAAAAACCGTTTCACACATTGCAGTAATCAAGTACTGGATCCCCTTTTGAATGTTACGTCTTCCATGTTACATCACAATAGGTATTAAAGAAAGAGGTTAAGGGAAAAAATGAATGACTAATAAGTGGTATTATTCATTGTTATAATTTGTGAAGGGGAGAAAATTCGGTTTTCAGATGAAAAGGTATCACAATCAAGGACTGATGTGAAATTTTGTTTTAAAATAGCGTCATTTTTTGCCCTGGTCTGTGAAACCATTTGTGCCCTCAGATGAGCCACTGGGAAGACTTGCTGGAGTCTCTGAGCAGAGGAATTCCTGGACACCCAGTTTACCCATTCTGTACTCTCATAAAATGTTCTCAACATGATAAAAATGTGTGTAAGTATATTTTTTTCTTATTTTTTAAATTAGTAAAAAGATAACTGAGTGGGACCCTCAGAATGGTGTAATGAGGAACTTGGCAATTTTCCCCAAAAAGCAATGATGAAACTGCATAAAATTATTAAAACAATTACTTTCACACTATGAAAATTGAGCAAACACATAAATGAATCAAGAAGCATTTATTCAAGCAAAACTACTGAACTCCAGGCAGGGACGATGGGAGTGTCCAGAGTTTTAGCCTAGGGATGCTCCCATCTCCCTTTGGCTTTGTTTTACCAGAGCTGAACAAGCTATGAAAACCAGCACCTTTGAACTCTAGGAGACTGCCATGAGTTAGAATGGAGTAGAGAAAAACCCCATGCCTGGAGGTGTTGTGCAAAAGGAATATGAACCTCAGTGCAAACAACTGGGGTTGGATAGCTAACGCAGACGGTCTGAGGGTGCAATATCATCAGACTAACCACAGGTTAATCAAGACAATTCTGGAAATGAGAAAGCCAGAGAAGCTCTTAATAAGATTTGACATATTCATGGTGGTCTGGAAGGTTGGGTTTATGCATAAAGTTGTGAGAACCCTAGCCATCTCTTCATCTCTGGCTGAATATGAGGTCTTGAGTACGCAAAGAGGTGACAGGAGAAGGCTCTGCAGAAAGTAAAAAGTCAAGGATTTATTTCATTGAGGTCATAATAATTTATATCATTGTGAAATGTCAGTTGTACATTATTATTTGTCTGTCACTATATAAATGTGCCCCTTCACCTCTTGTGCCTTCCCCCCAACACCCTTTGCCTCTGGTAACACCAAACTGTTCTCTTTGTCTGTTAGTTTATCTTCCACTTATGAGTGAAATCATATGGTGTTTGTCTTTGTCTGCTAAAAGCTGGGAATTTTAATGTGTTTCCCAACCAACACTCAGATCCATTGTCAAGGGGTAGAAGGCTCACCTAATCAAGGTTCTTATGGGCAACATCTCGCCATTCATCAGCTGACCACTAAGCTATGGTGACCCAGAAGTGATTCTATGAAGCCAGGCTTAGAAGAGAAAAAAAGAATTAAAAAAAAATAATAAACTGGTCAGAGACATCAGCATCTCCATGTTGCAAAGGAGACACATTACAGAATTAGTCAAGTCAGTACACAAAAGCAACAATTATCAATTCCTGGAGGAGCAGGAGATCTAAATCCAGAGTTGGTGCAATATTATCTAAAATGTCCAGTTGTGAACAATAAAAAATGAGACCTGCAAAGAAATGGGAGAGTGTGAACCATACATGGGGAAAAGTCAACAGAAACTGTTTCTGGGGGAGGTGAAGATATTGGACTCAGGAAAAAAATACTTAAAAAGAGCTATTATAAATATATTCAAAGATCTAAATGAAACCATATTTGATGAACAAAAATAATGTCTACAATGGCTCTTCAAATAGAGAATCAATAAAGAGAGATTACTTTTTAAAAAGAACATAATAGAAATTCAAGACATAAAGTTTTGAATATCTGAAATGAAAAGTTCCAAAGACAAGCTCAACAGCAAATTGAGTTGTCAGAAGGAAGATTTTGTGACCCTGCTGATAGGTCAACGGAGATTTCCAGTCTGAAGAAACAAAGATAAAAGGAATAAAAATTAACAGAATGTCACAACCTGCTGGGAAAACAATCAAGCATAGCAAGAATACACGTGACTCAAGTTCCAGGAGTATAATAGCTACTTTGAAGGAGAGTAGAGAAAAGGGCAGAAAAGTTCTTTGAAGAAATAATGGCCCAACATTTCCCCAAATGAGGAAAAACCAATCTACAAATCCAAGAAAGTCAACAAACTTCAAGTAGGATAAACAAAAGGAAATTCACATATTAACACATCATAGTCAAGCTACTGAAGGCCAAAGACAAGTAGAAAATCTTGCAAGAAGCAAGAGAAAGAGGACTCATTATGTACAAGGGAACCACAAGTAACTGAAGCTGACTTCTCTTCAGAAACAATGGAGGCCAGATGACATTGAAAATGCATTTTTCTCTTTCTTTTAACTGATTGTAAAGATGATTGCACAAAACAATGATAAAACTGTATTGTTGGACCTATATAAAGATGTAATATATATATGAAAACGGGACAAAGGCAGGGAGGAATGGAGCTATATTAAAACAGTTTCTAAACCTTACTGGAAGTAAATTAATATTAATCTGAAGAGTATTATGTTAAGATGTATATTGTCTTCCCTTGAATAACTACTAAGAAAATAATTCAGGATATTAAGAGAACCAGTAAAATGTTCCTCTGGAAAAAATATATTTAATATAAAAAAGCAGTAAAAAAGGCACAAAAGCACATAAAACATAGGAAACAGTAAAATGGGAGATATAAAGTAAACAATATCGATAATTGAATTAAATTTGAAATGTATGAAGAACTCCAATTGAAAGCTGAGATGGTTGGGGCCAGCTCTGTGGCATAGTGGCTAAGTTCATGTGCTCTGCTTCCTCACCCAGGGTTTGCAGGTTCTGATCTCAGGTGGGACCTATCAGCTCTCATCAGGCCACACTGCAGCCGCATCCCACTAAAGCACAGCAAGATTGGCACAGATGTTAGCTCAGCAACAATCTTCCTCAGACAAAAAGAGGAAGACTGGCAACAGATGTTAGCTCAGGGCCAATCATGCTCAGGGGAAAAAAAAACAAAGATTGTCAATCTCAAAACACAACAATATACAACTGTATGCTGTTTACAAGAGACACACTTTAGATTCAAATAGACAAACAGGTTCAAAGTAAAATCATAGTAAATTACACCATGCAAATAGTAACAAAATAGCTGAAGTGGCTGTATCAATATCAGGCAAAATACTCTTTGATGTCAACAACGTCACTAGGGACAAAAAGGAATATTTTATAAGGGGGAAAAGGGCAACTTACATAAATATTTAACAATTATAAACATAAGCATATTTGACAACCCAGCAACAAAATACATGAAGAAAGTCTGACAGAATTAAAGAAGATATAAACAAATTGTCAACAATGGCTGGGGTCTTTAATATGCCATTCTCAGGCTGGGTCCAATGAAGAAAGAGAGAGCTCACAGCAATTTGAACAGGAAACTGTTAATATAAATGACTATTAATTAATACTTAATAAGCAAATTAGAATAATGAGAGATTAGCAAGTAAGTAAACAGAACGCTACAGAATATAAGACTAGACATATAAGGAACACTAAACAGGGCTGAGATTGAGGGCCCATGGGAGATCCACTTGACAGGAATGAGATGCAGACCTTGTGGGAGAGGGCAAGGCATTCACTTACTGAAAGGACAGTGCACGTAGGCTGTGAGAATGGATCTTCAAGAAGCCCACCCCCTAGGGTGCTGCGTAAAGCTGTCCACGGGACATCTCACCAGAGATACTTAACTGCAAAACTGCTCAATGGGAGACACACATGGAAGCTGCTGATTAGTGTGAGCTGCTGGCACCAGGCATTGGGGAAGCTCTGAGTGATGCAGGAGCCAAGGAGATACTGCACCACAAAATAACCCAAGGATGGGTGTGTGATTAAAGAGCAAAGATGTATTTACAGAGCAGCCAGAATGAATGAAATTATAGCTGAGTAAATAATTTTTTAACTGTCACACAGTATTCCCAATAATGCAGAGAAAAACTAGATTAAAAAATGAATATGAACAATCTTATCTGCCAATTTGAATGGTGTCACATGTATAGAATAGAGGCACAGACCATATGCTAGGCTATAAAATGACTCAATATATTTAAAAGAACAGAAATAATGTAAAGTTCTCCTATCACAATATAATTGAATTAAAAATCAACAGAAAGAAATGTGGGAAAATCTCAAAGTTTGGAAATTAAACTACATGCTTCTAAACCGCCTGTATGTCAAAGAAGAAATCACAATGGAAACTAAAACTAATTTGAATGAATGAAACAAAAACAACATCCCACAACTGATAAGAAAATGAGGATGCAGAGGAAAGTTTATAGCTGTAACACCTATATTAGCAAAAATCATTTTAAATAAATACCTAATTGTTCACCTTAAGAAGATATAAAAGAAGAGCAAAAAAACCAAAAGCAAGCAGAAGGAAGGAAATGATCAAGAAAAGAGAAGACAGGGAGAGGAGCAGAGCAAAATGGCGGGGTGAGCTGACCTGGGACTCTCTCCCCTCCAAACTACAACAAAGGATTGGAAAAACTGAACTTCAGCCAATAATCCTAATGGCAGACCATCAGAGAACTACAGAAACCAGACCACGGAGGACGGAGAGGCTGCAGATGGCCTTGGAGGAGCTGGAACGGGGTAGGAGAGAACTTCACTCCCTCCTCTAGAGACTGGGATTGCTGCCGCGGGTGAGGGAAGGAGCGGGGAAGGGGCCACGCAACCGGGGATTGTCCAGGACTCTCACCACTGGTACAGTGGAAACCCACTGACAGGGGAAAGCTTCCGTGCCTGGGGACCCTATCAAGCCAGGGCACCGGGAGACCAGAGAACGAGAGCTGATCGGAATCCAGATCGGCCCGCGAGAGAAAGGGCCCCTCCTCCCCAACCTGCGCTGGGTGCCGCCATCTTGCCTGAACGCGGGGAGCTCAGAATATGCAGCTCCGAACCCCCATCTAGTGGTGACAGGCTGTAACTGCAAACAAATACTACCATCATGTGCAAAAACTGCTGCTCTAACATCCAGCAATTTATAAAAGCTCCAGAACAGAAGGAAAACAATAAAAACACATAATTAAGTCCTGAGGACTTGGAAATAGGTAAACTAAGTGAAAATGAGTTCAGAGTAGCTATCATCAAAATGCTCAACGAGTTAGAGGGAAAGAAAGAGAAACAAGTCAATGAATTCTGGAGTTACTTCACAAAAGAGATTGAAACTATAAAGAAGAATCAAACAGAAATACTAGAGATGAAAAACACAATGGATCAGATAAAACAGAATACGGATTCCCTGAATGCCCGTGTAGACACCATAGAGGAGAAAATTAGCATAATCGAAGATAGATAGGCTGAATGGATCCAGACAGAGGAAGAAAGAGAACTAAGGATTAAAAAGAGTGAGGAAAATATCAGAGAGATAGCAGATTCAATGAGGAGAACGAATTTAAGAATCATCGGAATTCCTGAGGGCATGGAAAAGGAAAATGGAGTAGAAAGTGTGCTTAATGAAATTATAGAAGAGAACTTCCCAAATCCAGGGATTGAGGGAGAAATGTGTCTGGAGGAAGCTTTCAGATCTCCTACATTTGTCAATGTAGAAAGACCTACTGCAAGGCATATAGTAATAAAAATGACAAAAATGAAACACAAAGAAAGAATACTCAGGGCAGCAAGCAAGAAGAAAATAACCTACAAAACAACTCCTATCAGACTTTCAGCAGATTTCTGTACAGAAACCTTACAAGGTAGGAGAAAATGGAGTGACATATTCAAAACTTTAAAAGATAAAAATCTTCAGCCAAGAATACTCTATCCAGCAAAAATATCCTTCAGATATGAGGGAGAAATTAAACCTTTTCCAGACAAACAAAAGTTAAGGGAATTTGTAACCAAAAGTCCTCCACTACAAGAAATCCTCAAGAAGGCTCTCATACCTGAAAAAAGAAAAAAAAGGAAAAAAGGCATCACAAACCACA